TTGAGTTAAGATATTTGAATTAATATGAATTATATTTGATGATGGTGGAAGAGATGCACAAAAACTTTTTGTAACCAGCTGATACACTTTCTACAATATATGTTTATTTTGAAAATAAATAAATAAATTTTTTTAAAGTGCAAATAAGGTAGAATTTATAACCGAAGTAAGAGAAAACCCTGATTTTTTTAAAAAAGTGGAGAATAAAGGAAAATGGAGGACAGAACATTAGCAGCATTCAGTTTAAAAACTCCAGTAGTTTTTTTCCGCTAGGGTTGAGATAGTAGCCGGCAAAACACTCTATTTCTAGCAACAACTAATCTAAATATTTCTATTTTTGTGAACTAGCTGAATCGCAGGCGCCTGCTGGCAAAACCAGAGAAAGTGACACCTTGTCCAGTGAAGCAGACATCATTCCCCGAGATGAAAGCGTTTGTGAATGCACTGTTCCCTCTGCCAAGTACGTTTGTTGGATTTCTTTAAATCTCAATTTACAACCGTTCATTTAATGACCATTTGAAGTTACAACAACATTGAAAAACGTGAATGATTACAGTTTTTGAACATTGCACTCAAAAGTTAATTTTTAAAGTGTGAGCCTCCATAGGCAAATTGTGTTTAAAAGATGTCACAAAGGAGAAATAAGTAATTATAATTGGTAAGAGTCACCTTCTACAGGTACAACAATTCATTTAGCGACTGTTCAAAGTTACAACACCACTGAAAAACTGATTTATGACCGTTTTTCACATTTGCGACTGTTACGGCATCCCCATGGCCACACATTCGAAATTAAGACACTTGGCAACTGACTCATATTTATGATGGTTGCAGAGTCGATAAAGTTCATAAAATAGGGATAAAACTCACTTAACAACTCTTTCGCTTAGCGATGGAAATTTTGGGCTCCGTTTTCTGTCTCCTCATTCCTGGCCGTAATTCTGCTTCTTGGTTTCGATCGTCCAGGGTCCTCGAAATGATGGCGGAAGTGCCGTGGTTCAGGAAAGAAAGAACAGAGGACATTTTGGATTTAACCGGTGAAGCCGCCGAGGGCATCGCGGAGAGGATCTATGTCGATAAAAAAGGAGAAAAGAGTGTCACAAGTAAGGGATTCTTATCTGTTGATGTGGCCTCAAGGCGAGGGGTTGGGCTAGGTGACCTCCAGGCTCCCTTTCAACTCTATTAGTCTGTATCCTACAACTCTCTATGGACCAAAATAAAGTGAAGCTTCAGGGCTAGGTTGATGAGCGTTTCTAGATATTCAGATTTTCAAGATTATGGGGCTACCTGGTTTGAATCCCCATTAGCATCTGCGAAGGGAAGGGGTGAGGGAGGGTTGCGCTGCCTTTTGGAATCAAGCACACAATGAAAGCAGCATCTGTGCAATGATGTCATGAGACAAGTCACCTTTGTGGCAGATACGGAGGCAGCCGAATCAACACCATGCTTTTAATGCTGGGCTGTGTTGTAATATATATTCCTTGTGTAGGTGTGTGTCCCCCATGGCCCAGTTCATACTAGGGCATGCAGAGCCACGCTGAATCACACAGGAGAAAACAAACTCCTAGAATGCCATAACATCCTGATAGCGCATAACATAACATTCTGATATATGCCCTACCATTGACGTCCAGGATTTAACCATATATAGCAGTAGATTAGAAATTGTACTTTTACAGGCTGTTTTTACTCACATGCTATTGCTCTTCCTGCCTTTGTCCTATCTCAATAAAAGGGGCTCTCAGACCCTCAATCTGGGTCGCTCCATCCCGAGAAAGTTCGTGTCCTGTCTTTTCTCCCCATTGGCCTCATGGACGAACCACAGGAACGTTACATGGCTGCTAGTCTATTATGTGAGAGCAAGCCCTTTCTCCATCTAGCACTGATGATGTTACATATGTGGGTCTTGACATGTCTGCAACAAAACAACCAAACTCAGAGAGCATGAAGGACACCCCCTCCTCCCTTCCCTCTTTGAACAGCCCTGTCTCAACAGAGGGGGAGGGATACAACTTCACGATCGCCAATCCAAGTCCTTTCAGCAGCTCCAAGAAGGCCCCACACCCGCTTGCATCACTCAGGTGACCCTGAGGACACAGGCCCAGGTGGCCTCAGCGACTCTCTGAAAAGACTCAAATGACCAGCTGTCTGCAAGGAATATAAATCCTTCCGTCCCATACCATCCAGTCAGAGCTGAAGAAGCTTCTTAGATGAGAAGCGAAATGTCTTCACGGAAAAACAAGAAAGACCAGCTGCCTCTTGAAAAATCATCTTCGGGACATGAAACAGAGCACCAAGGAACCCACAGTTTTTGTGGTCCTTCTCCTCCTCTCCTCTTCCTTTCTATAAGCCCCACTCCCTTCTGCAAACAAGCCAACAAGCTCAAGAGCACCAGGGACCCCACAGATATAGGTACAAGAAGGGACACCAGAACCTGTGATGGGTACCAGAGACGGCCTGGAGCATCGGATACCGTTCTGGTACGGTGCTCCGGAGGGCCCACCCGCCCACTCGAGGTCCTTACCTGTCCGCGCATGTGCATGGCGTGTACAGCACCTGTGCAACGCTCCACCAAGCAGCTGGAGCATCGTGGAGGCTTGCGGAGGCGTTGCTGGAAGTTACGATGCATGCATGCGCCGTGCACGTTCATGTGGAGGACGCCAGGCCCCGTTGCAACCGTACCGTTTGCAATGGGATCCGGGAATCCACCACTGCCCAGAACCCAAACATTGTTTAACCAGCTCATGGTTCAAGTTTTATCATCGCTCTGATGGCTTTTTCCTTTCTCCTTCTGAAAAGAATAGTTCTGCTTAAAGCACTGAGAGCAAACCACACTCCCTGATGATGTTGCTTAGTTAGGTCATGAACTGTCTGCAAGAAAATAACCACCTCTAGATCTGTCTGTCAGAGTTTGCAGTAGAAATCACATCCAGAAAGCGCACAGAGATAACTGATTCAGCAGGATTCATTAACTTCTTCATATACATAACATCAGTAAATGTACAACACCAACAGCAGATTCTTCCAACGTGATAGAAAAGAGAGATTTTTTCAGTTCAGAGCTCAGAATTGACCAGTTTAGTTGTCTTGCACAGACTCAGAGCTACATAGGTAAGCCACGCCCAGGCTCCGAGCCGTCTATCATGGCTCTCAGTCACCAAATAGTTCCCATTGGCTGATCCAGTTGCCTTACCTATACAATGGCTGACCTTGTTACCATGTCCTATTCCAGTTCATGAATATTCTGACACTGTCCAACTGCACTTCACTTATTTTTCTTTTATTAGGTCCACCATACATGCAGGTGCCCCTTGAAGATGTCCAGGTTCGGTCTGGGGAAATGGCCAAGTTCCAGGCCATCATTGAAGGCAATCCTCAACCGGCTGTCGGATGGTTTAAGGTACGTCAAAGACAACCCCAAACTTGGGTGGTAATAAAAAAAGAAATGGCTACAGACCCATTTGTGCTTTTCACTTTAAATCTGCTGTGCAGATTTAAAAAATAATAATAATTACAGGTAGTTTCAACTTATGGCCACCATTAAGCCCCAAATTTCTGTTGGGGGCAGTTGTTAAGTGAATTTTGCTTCATTTTACAACTTTTCTTGCCCCCCCCCCCTTGTTAAGCGAATCATTGCAGTTGTTAAGTTAGTCACAGAGTTTGTCAAGGGACTCTGGCTTCTCCCATCGACTTTCCTTGTCAGAAAGCTGCAAACGGTGATCACATGACCCTGGGGTACTTTTAACCATCATTAATATCATAATACAGTTGGTCCTCAACTTATGACCCACAATTGAGCCCAGCATTTCTGTTGCCAGTTGTTAAATGACTTTTGTCCCCATTTTACCCGCTTTCTTGCCACATTTGTTGAGTGAATCACTGTAGTTGTTAAGCTAACAACATGGTTATTAAGTAGAATCCGGCTTCCCCATTGACTTTCCTTGCGGGAAGGTCGCAAAAGGGGATCACATGACCTCCTTCATGGGAATACCGCAACTATCATTAACTGCTGCAATGGTCGTAAATGTGAAAAATAGTCCTAAGTCACTTTTTTTTAGTGCCGTTGCAACTTCGAACATTCACTAAGTGAACTGTTGTAAGCCAAGGACAACCTCTGTTCATAAATATCGTATCCTAAGTCCTTCTTCTGCCGTGGTGCAAACCCTCCCCAGAGATATATTCTTAAACCAAGAGCTTAGGCGGTGCTGCCCCTGGCTGAAGCCCTGAAAGTGTGGCTACCTACCTTATGTTGCCTGCTTACCTCGTTTCCTTCTAGGGAATTTCCTTGTTGCTGGACAGCGAAAGGATCTACCAGTCCAGTGAAGGGACGAGCTACTCTCTGACCCTCTACAACGCTCGGGCCGAAGATGGAGGGGTCTATGCTTGCATGGCTAAAAATGCTGGAGGGGAGGTGGTCTGCAAAGCAGAGCTGGTGGTGCAGGAAGGTAGGTTGACTTGGTGGTTTTCTTCTCATTTATTCTTTCTTTTTTATTTCTTCCTTTCTCTACCTCCCTCCTTCTTTCCTTTCCCTCCCTCCCTCCCTGCTTCCATCCTTTCCTCCCCCTCCCTCCTTCCTCCCTCCCTCCCTCCTCTCCAGTGACGTGCGGTGAGATTTATGGCTGGTGAGGCAGCAATTTTTTTTAGGCTTGTGTACTTCAGCTCCCAGAATTCCACAGCCAGGCATGCTCAGTTCCAATTTAAAGCGACAGCATTTGTTTTTCTCCTTTGTTAAATAAGTTTCCTTCTTTCTTTTTCTTCTCCCTTCCCCTCCTTCCTCTCTCTCTCTCTCCCTCCCCCTACCGTCTCCTGTAGAAGGCACTTTTTTAGAGGCTTTTTTAAACAGTTAACAGAGTAAGCAGAGTCATCCA